AGTTCTACATTGGCAATACCACAACTATATCAACAACACGCTCGGTGAGGTGAGCATCTACAACATATCATCAATACCAAACCCTCACGCAGTTATTATCACTATTACTAGTACTATCACTACTTCTACTACCACCTAAACCCTAAACCCTAAACCCTAAATCGAACAAACTCCCATCGCTTCGGACGGCCAGGACATTTCGCTGCGCCTCCTTGAGCCGGCCCAGGAGCACCGAAGGGCTTGGCTTCAATGAGCTTAGGATTTAGGGTTTAGGGTTTAGGATTTAGGGTTTAGGGTTTAGGGTTTAGGGTTGATTTAGGATGTTAGGGTTTAGGTTTAGGATTTAGGGCTTAGGGTTTAGGATTTAGGGTTTAGGATTTAGGGTATAGGATTTAGGGTTGAGGGTTCAGTTAATACGGGTTTTATAAGGCTGTTAACTTAAATAGGGTCTTTAACTTCATGTAACCGAACATAGGTTATATAGGATGCCAGATAGTATAGGCTACAGGTTTTTATAGGGCTCGAAGCGGGTTTCGTAGTGTTTCATCGGGTCCTTTGTTTGGTTTGTACTTCGAATAGGGTCTATGGGCTTACACGGAATCGCAGCAGTGTATAGGGTGTAATATCGGGGTTTTGACATCCATAACAGGTGTTATAGGTCCTCTAGCTTTTGGCTTCATAATTTTGACCTAAAATAATTACCAACACGGCTTTTGGGTGTCCTTGCTATAGTTATAGTATAATCTCCCCCAAAGCCCTAGTCTAAGTAACAAGGCCCCTACATTAGATTGGTTTTGGTGTGTGACGGAGGCAATGCAAGCAAGGCCTGCAGTTCGAAGCCCTTGCAAGGTTTCTTTCCTTCTATGTAAGACTTTAATTTGTTGAGCATTGATCTCTTGAACTCATAAATTTAAAACATTCCCAATGTTTGAACTCTGGAATTCGACAACAAAAAACTGAACAGCAACCGCGTCCAAAACCATAAACCGGTCATTTTCCATGGCGCATGGGCCATGGCAGAAGCAGCGCAGTTGGGCTTTTTGGCCAAAAGGCTTCGGTGTTCCCGTGGTTGCTTCAGCCACACCTGTAATGTGTTTGCTTTTCAGATTTCGAATGATCACATCGTGCAGCTGCAGCACTCCTTCCGCCTTGTTCTGGCTTGCACTGCCTGTCTCAAAGAACAGCCGCATGCATAAAGCAAGTGCTGGAATGAATGTCTCTGCAACTTCTGCAAGTATCGTCACAGTTACTGCGGTTCGTCCCCACGCTCCACTACAATCATCTACAATCCCTAAACCTCAACTCAACACCAGAACACCCCAAATTTACATCTGTGTACAGCTTTGCGAGAGGAATGCCTGAAGCAGATTCGCTACCTTAGCCCGGAGCCGAGAGTGGAAGCCTTCGGGAGCTTATCAGGTTCTGCCTACCAGGATGTTGGTGAGGGGTTTAGGGTTTAGGGTTTGCGGTTTAGGGTTTAGGGTTTAGGGTATCTGCAGGGTGTGTGAATTGTTGAGGAGCTGAAGCCCTTCAGTTTATCAACTCTTTCTGCGGCCGTCTCGAAGTAGAAAACTGAGTCAGGAGTTTGCAGTCCGAGGTTCAGCAAATATGAAAACCAATTCCCGGAGCTCATAGGGTCAAGATGTACTGACTATAACTTATCTTCTTTACTAGCGTTTCGTGTATGACCTTTGATATTAACGCGTTTGGACTTGTCACTGTTGGCGACAAGAGAAGAGGAGTGAGATCGCTTGGATATTGACCACGTAGTGTTTGTTGCATATGGGTGGTTGTCAAAATTAGGGTCCCTTTTGGGGTACCCTAAATAATAGGTGCCGTATTAGAATAAGGACCCAAAAAAGAACGATAATTTTGACAACCGCCCATATGGCCTCTCAGAGAGTCTGTTGTGCTACTTTGTTTGTACAGAGTCGAAGCCCTACACCGTAAACCGAGGGTTCTGTTGGCCTCAAACACCCCAAGGCCCAACACAATGAAAGTGCCGGGTTCATTGACCCCGAAGCGTTTTGCTTTCCCGATTCTTTGCGATATCTATCAAGACTCAGACCACGGACACATGCACAGATTCGCCCAACAAAAACAGCAGGAGAACGACAACGAACGCTTGTAGACATCCATGAAATGTCGCGAAGTTGCAGTCCTCCTGCTTTCTCAGGTTCTGGTGCATTGACAGAGCACCCTGAACGACCACTCCTCAAAGTGCGGCAGCCGCTGGGACACAAGCTTTCAGTCTCTAAGCTCCGAAGCCCGCAACCTTGGAGGATGCACGTCCTTTGCACCGAACTTATTGGATGTGTAGGGTTTAGGGTTTAGGGTTTAGGGCCCTAAAACCTAAACCCTAAACCCTAAACCAAAACCCGCATTCCGACTGGGGCGCCTTGTTAGGGGCCTTCGGGTTCAAGTCTCGCTAAACCCTAGAGATCGTACCTAGACCCTCCATCTAGCCTCTATATCTCCCTAAATTAAATACCCTTAATTTGGGACCATATACCCCTATTTGAGGGTACAAGGAGGGTCCTGGTAAACTGTTGTGCGTTCACAGAATCCACCTCTCCCAGCTGTTTTCATGGTAGGAACTTTGAAAGCTCTCTGTTACCATAACCCTCCAGGTACCTACTATATAGGGCCCTAGGGGCTCTAGTACCCTATATAGTAGGTACCTGGGGGGTGTGGGTTTGATATTTTGGCATCTCTGTAACCTCCTAAACCTGCGCAAGAGACGGAATCATCAGCAATTCGTAACCTCTGGGTCCTACAGTCCTACATGGCCCAGTGTAGTTATGCTGTGATTCACGTCGAAACCCTGTTCTACTCATGATGCGAATTTTAAGGCTTCAGGGTCTAATCACGCTTCGAAGCCCTAAATGATAGAACCCCACAGTGTCAACCCCCCTAAACCCTGAACTCCACATCCCACGCTCAGGTTCAGCTTCTGGGCTTAGGGTTGAGGGTCTTTTGGCGGTCTTGAGGGTTTACGGCTTAAGCTCCAAATCCCACGTTCAGGTTCACCTTCTGGGTCAAGGTGCTTGAGAATGGAGTGCAACTGCTAGGGCTCCACATCACGGGCTCCGGCGCCGTGGCTTTGGGGGTTTCTAGTTTTGGGAGCATGGGTTTAGGGTTAGGTGTGAAGCCGGGTCACGGGTTGGGTTTTGGGGAGTCACCGGGGCTCGTTGTGTGTTTCTTTCTGGTTTTGGTCGGTCAAATTCCTGAAATTGGTTCACTTCATCCGTCGTTGGCCGGTTGTAAGGATTTTGCGCTTCAGGGTTGGAAGTGTTGACTTTGGGGTGTTTCAGTTTGGAGTTTGGGCTTCAGCTCCGATTCACTATAGATTTCAAGGTCGCTCTCGAACAAGATTTGCGACAAAAGTTCCAATAGAATGCGCTGCTTCAAGTCTGATTAAAGAACTCTTGTGAGCGGATTCAGTGTTTAGGCCAGTGCGCAAGTCGGCAGGTAGCACGCAAACACGGCCAGAAACGACTGCGAGAACCAAGTGTCTACGAGCAGCGACTGCGTGCACAAGTCGGTCAGGAAAACAGAATGGGAACGCAAGGTTGTATGCAAGGCCGGCAGGTAAGCCGGCACATGCATGACAAATAGACGCATTGCTTAGGAACCTGATCGAAGAGCCAGCCGATGAGCCACAACGAAGAGTCATGAACTACCAGACAACCAGCCAAGCAACAAATGTCTAGCCAGCCAGCCGGCCAACCGTTTGCTGGCAACTGCGGAAGTGGAAGTGACCTTCTATCCAAGTGCTGCCCACGAGGACAGGCTGACCCGAGGCTTTAGAAGACAGAGTTTAGTCAAGGTTAGAGTTGTGGGTCTCTTCATGGCATTGGCTTTAGAGCTCAGTCTTTTGTGTGTTGGCTGTCGGGTTGACTCCGCATGCTGAGGTGAGGATTTTGCACACTCTGTCAAGAACACCTTCATCGAGATTAGCCCGGCTCTGAATGTTATCTCCGGGCTTCTTAGCGTAGGGAGGCACGGGATCTAGACAAGCATCGTAATGTGAATTTATGACTAGTATGATAAATAGACGGCGTTCGTTCTTTCTTTACCATATAATGCATCAAGAAACGCATTGGATCGCATCGGAGATTTCAGCGCTTTGCACAGCACTAAGCTTCTTCAAGCCTAAACCCTGTTTCCCAGAGACTCCAATACCCATTAACTAAGAAATATACTCGAATATACCTTCAACATTATAGTAGGATCCCTAATATGAATTTAATAAGTCTATTCCTTAATTAAGGCATTCGCTACTTGTAAGGAATACACTCGGATACACCTTAGAAATTATAGTAGGATCCCTAATATGAACTTTCATAAGGTCGATTCCTTAACTAAGGGATTTTAGGAGCCTTTGGGTTCCTCAGGCCAAGCGTTGACGATGGCATAAGCTGGCCAGGGCCTGGTAGGAAGAGCTAGGGTTTAGGGTTTAGGGTTTAGGGTTTAGGGTTTGGGGTTTGGGGTTTAGGGTTTAGGGCTTATAGGGTTTAGGGTTGAGGGTTCAGGGGCTGCAGTCGGCTTCTTTCGCCTGCTATGGTCAATATGAGTTTCAGAAAGCCAGGCGCGGTGCCCCGAAGTAATCTGTGCCAAGGATTTCGGGGCTCAGAAGATGGGTAGTTCTCTAAATTCGGGTCCCCTTTAAGATCCCTTTTAATAAGCGTGCCGTACTATAGTTGGGACCTAAACAGGGTCCCCTGTAAGATCCCTTTTCATAGGCGTGCCGTACTATAGTTGGGACCTAAACAGGGACCCTAATTTAGAGAACTGCCCAGATGTGTAGGACCAGAGCAGGATGGCAGCTTCAATGCTGCATCCGCATAGCTGACTGGGTTTTGTAGAACGAGGTTGGATGCGAGATTTTATTGGAGGTGTAAACTAAGCCTCAACCATGGACCCTGAAGTAAAGTCCTCAAGCCCGAAGTCTGACACTGAAGCCTTAAGCCTCAAGCCTGAATATGAGACGAAGACCCGCAACCTGAACCCCACCTGACTCCAAACTCGAAGCCCAAAGGCTGTACACCCGGACATGCAACAGTAGACTCTCGTCTTCCAACATCAAACAACCCAAAGCTCACCTGAAGCACCCATGGCCCAAAGGTCGACCTCAACAGCAACCCGAAGCAGCAGACTTGAAACCGTCGAACCCTTGTAGGGAATTCTTACAGCAACCCTAAAGGGTACTATAGTGTTTTACTAAACTGGGTCCTTGTTGGCTCCAATTTTAGATTGTTGTTATCATAAAGCCACTATGGATTAAAAATGATGTTTTTTAATATATCCTCAACCAAGAAGTAGTAAAGGGTTCTATAGTGGGATCCCCTTTCTTGGGACGCTGGCTGCCCAGGTGACATCGTCGAATCTCCGCTGCGCCGGACTAGGGCCCACTCCTGGTGTGGACGCATGGCTTTCACTGGACCCTGAACTCAAAGGGTCCAAGTTATAGTATAGTATATACTTTGGGAGCCCGAATACCTACAAAGGAGCTACCATATTCATACTTGGACCCTTTGGGGAACTGCCCGACCTGGTTCAAGGGGGTCTATAGGGTTGAGAGTTTAGGGTTTGGGGTCCGTAGGGGTCTATTCTATCTAGAGCAGCTCGACTCGATGCCGGTAGCTCAAGCGTTCTGCCCCAGATCAAAACTCACCAGAAGCAGAAAGTAGAATCCCCCCCCCCAACAAAGCTTGGGCACAAACACCTCGCACTAAAGGGCACGTCACAAAAGGTCGAGGTCAACAATGCGCTGGGCTCGGCTCTAGGTACAGGCCCCTTAAGGCTCCAAGTGCCCAAGTAGTCAACCCTAAACCCTAAACCCTATAAGCCCTAAACCCCTAAACCAGAACCTGAAACCCCACGCTTTGTCGGGGGGCCTCAAACCTTTAAGCCGGTTGGGTTCCTGGGCCTCGGCTTTTAGAATCCTACCGCAAATCACTGCCTTCGTCACTCCGGGAAGGTTTCGTAGACAGGCACTTTACCCAACAAGGACAGTTTTATGAAAGTCTCTCTTTGTCTTTCTTTCACTGCTGTGTCAGGCACACGAGTGCAGGCCGGGCACACCGGGGCAGATCCATCAGAGGAAGTGTGCGCTGAGCATAGATGGGCTAAAAAATAGCCCCCCTCATTCCTCAGTCACTTGGGTAGTTGTCAAAATTAGGGTCCCTTTTTGGGTCCTTATTACAATACGGCACCTATTATTTAGGGTACCCCCAAAGGGAACATAATTTTGACAGCTACCTACTTTTCGCAATAGTACTACAAGTACCCCGAAGCCTGACGCTGGCTCAATATTATGGACTCCTAACGTGACTTTGTTCTTGGAGCGCTGGGAAAGCATTGGGGTTATGGGGTTTGATGCTAGCTGGGAAAGCATTGGGGTTATGGGGTCTGATGCTAGCTCTGGGTGATGGCTTCAGAAAGGAAGAGTTTTGATTTTTGGCGTCTGTTTCATGATGGCTACATGATGCTCCTCGATGCCGGTCAATACTTTAGATGTCTACCCTAAGCTACACTACCCGACGTTTCTGTGGGTTCTTATTCTAACAAATGTATAGGGGCCCTACAAAAAGTGGGTTTCGGTAGGTTGAGTTAGAGCTGTTGGAGACTGTGAAAGCGGATTTGCTCGGCGGTTGCACTCCGAACCTTTCTGCAACCCTTTTCCCAACCAGCTCGCTACACCCTGAACCTTCAACCTTAAGCCCTAACCCCGAATTTGCCCCACCCAACTCCAAATCCCTGAACCCTAAGCATTTGGAGCTTGGGGTTTGTAGAAGAATTGCCGATTATTCTTCAAGGGTTCCCAAATATGGTATGTGGTTCAGATTTATGTACTTGCTAGAATTTCAGTCAAGCCCCCATTGCAATTTCTATCGCCCCTATAAAAGGCCCCGTGGCAACACTCCTTCTAAACGATGCCCTCAGAAGGAACCGTATTCCAACAACCTCAGGCCCCGAACCCGAAACTCCTGAAACCTAAACCCTCAGCCCCATATTATGAGCACTTCAATGATTCAAGGGGGCCGCATGGCCTTTCTTGGGAGGTCGCTGTGCCGATCGAGGGGCCCGAGTTCGGGAGCATAGATGATGACGATGGCGAGGTCGGCTAGGGTTTAGGATGTGGGGTTGATCGGCCGGCGGGCGTCAGGGTTGTGGTTTCAGGGTTTAGGGGTAAGCTGGTGAGAATTGTGGTTGGTCAATCACGCTACTTCCTTTTTTTGCAAAGGAGCCAGGGTCGTGGCGGAGTCCCATACATAGACTAAGCAAAAGCCGTGCACTCGTGGAGGAGCCAGATCAAGGGGCTTATAGATCCTCCCTCGACTGTACAAACATGCTTCCGTATGAAGGCGGGTAAACAAAATAGCTGCATTCGCAGGCAAAAATGCAAATGCCACGCTTGGGAAAGCCCAAGTATCAAAAACAACACACATCGCCACATAAGAAGACAACTAGAGCCAAACAAGGCCACGAAGCACAAACACGTGATTTGACCCTGAACCCTGGAGTTTGCATCGCCAGTGCCGCCAGGCGCAAAGCCTTCCAGGAAGCTTCGACAGCGCCCAGTTCCTTGCTCCCCACGGGTATTTAGGTCTCAGAGATTAGGGGTTTGGGCTTAGGACGGTTGCGGGTTTAGGGGGGAGGGTTTAGGATGTTTTAAACCCTAAACCCTAAACCCTAAACCCTGAGTCTATGGGTATAGGGTTCAACCTAGGGTTTTTTGGGTCAGGGTTTAGGGTGCGGGGTCTGAGGGGATTGGTAAGGGGAGCTCCTGACTTCTCTCGGTCATCTCAAATGGCACCAAGAACTCTGCATTAAACTCCCGCAATCTAGGGGGCTTCAAAACTTGGAGTTGGGTATATGTTACTACGGTTATAGCACGCAACCCTACAAGAGCATTGGTAACTATCTAGACTCCCGTATTACTGCTTTTAGGGCTTTGGGCTTTATGTCTTGAGGGTTAGACATTAGATGCTTTCGGGCTGAAACCCCACTACCTATAGTCTCCATTGTAGTTCCTTTTGGGGGATACCTTATAAAATCCTTAATATATAAATGGTTAAACCAAAAAAAGGAACTACAATGGAGACTATAGGTCCTATAGGTAAACCCCAAACCCTAAACCCGTTCAAGCTCGGCCATTCAAGGCACAGTGGCAGCTGCTTCGCTGGCAGCGGCAGCAATGCGAGTGCCAGTGGCAGCGGCCGAAGCCACCCTGAGCATGCATAGAAACTGTTGAGAGTGGTTTCTGGCCTCTCTGTTTTTAGGGTCAAGGAAGATTGCGGAGCATTGAGTTATTGCATGCCATGATGGTTAGTTAACATGCGGCAGGAACTGTAGACGTTGTGGGCCTGTTGTTGTGTGATCTGGTTTCATGGACAAGACCCTCATGTTGCTCATTAGTAGTCTGGCTTGCGGCTCATAGTTTGACGGCCACGGCCCCTCGCCGGTCCAGGCACACGACTTGCATCTGCGGCAGGGTGGACGCTCTCCATCTTTCTCTCTGTGTGCCAGTGGAATGATAGAACAATCAGCGCAACTGGCTACTGTGATTACGGATGGCCCCCAGTTGGTTCTGCATGTCCTCAGGTCAGGGCAGTCAGCTCGACAAGCTGAGTTGCGCAGGTGGCAAACTTAATCTGTTTTTCGACGGGACTCCCTTGGGAGGCTCACCAGTAATCCTAAGAACAGCCCATCAGGGCAGTGGATAAGCCCCTGAAGGCTCTACTTCGAAGCTTCTGCGGTAATCATTCCGTCTGTAATGAGTAGTGTACTCAAGCTGAAGATCCGCCGGCGCTCAGCCGTGATTTCTGCATCAGGACAAACTTCAGCCTCGAACTGCGTCAAACCTGCAACCGAGACCCTGGATGCGAGTTTGCAGCTTCAACCTTTCAACCTCCAAGATTTGGTGATCTTTCCGACGTCTTGTTTCGGAATCCTAAACCCGAAACTTCCGAAAAGGGAAGATGAGGAACCCAGAGCACAGTCTGAGCCCATGCACTTCAGGGTGAATAATAATACTAGGATTTGGGGACATGCTGCTGTGACAATCAGCATCGGGAACACAATGGAATGCTACCAACCTTAAGCATCCTTCACGCCTAGCCAAACACCCCTGACTCCGCGAAACCTATAAGTTCTATGGGTCCTTGAAGTGCGACCCTAAACCCTAAATCCAAAGCACATTCAGTCCCGAAATCTATAAAATTCGCAAGTTCCTTTTTTGCGCATGTACGAGTCTACACCCTAAACCCAAAACGTAGTAAGTCACGAGACCAATAAGTCCCATCTTCCTTTCGGTGCGGAGTTCCCTAAATCCTAAACCCTATAACCCTAAACCTATAATCCTAAACCTTACACCCTAAACCCTAAAGCCCTATAGCCCTATAACCCTATAACCCTGAACCCGAAACCTTATAAACCCTAAACCCTAGTAGCATCTCAGGTCGTGGAGGACGCTCGGAAGCCGCTCCGGGCGCTGCTTCTCAGGAGCCTCTGGTTGGACTTGAGGGATAAAACAGTTAAACATTAGGGTTTAGGGTTTAGGGTTTGGGGTTTAGGGTTTAGGGTTTAGGGTAACTAGTCGTAGTAACTAGTCATGAGATGATAGTGATGAGGATGATCATGATGGTGATGATGATGACGATGAAGTATGTAATCTCTTCCCCGATCTTTTAAGCACCCCCCTCAAAAACAAAACGCTTTGGAGCCACTCCTGCCGAAATCATCTCTGACCTTTAGAACCTGTTTATGTATCTGTATATGTATGTGTATAGTATATGTATATATACACACACATCAAGATTGTTGTTTTATACCCGGTATCGAAGTTAAGAGCAACTCCGTCCTTGAGTTGACAGGCTGGGTTTCGTGCTAAGCGAGACGAGTAACGGTAAAACAACGATAACGTCGATTTCGCTGCAAAACGATCAGAGGAACATAGTGAGAATCGAAATACGGTCAAGCCGATGATGGTTAGGGATCAAGCCATCAAGCTTGCTCACATGTTTTTTGGGTTCCGGGTGGGCGATTCAGGGTTTAGGACTTAGGGTGAAGGGTTTGGGGAGAGGTTGCGATAAGCACCCGTATCATCTCTTGAGGCCGTGACGTGTGTCCAAGCTTTCAATCCTAAACTTTCCTAAACTCCACTAAGTCCCTAAAACCGAAACCCTATAAAAATGAGGCGAGTAGATGCTAGTAGTTCATGGAAGCTTTAGGACGTCGCGGTTTGGGAGTTTAGGGTCTGGGTTCCAGGGATGGCAGGAGGAGTCTGACCGGCGGAGTTCTTGGGGCCGGCTGGATTACAGCAGGGTTTGGGGTTTAGGGAATTTGGGTTTTAGGGTTTAGGGTTTAGGGTTTAGGGATAAAGTTCAGGGATTTTGGTGTACAGTTTAGGGATCAGGGTTCGGTTTTCCAGAGGCTGAAGACTTGCAGTCCAGTTAGAAGCAGTTAGTCTTTGAATCTAGCATTGGAGCCGTATCAGCAGGAGTTGTCAGAAGTAATGACAGTCTAGCATCTATGATAAACTCTGGTATAGTGTAACAGACTATACTACTATTGTATATTTTACTATACTATACGATACTGTGTTATAGTATACTATACTACAGTGCAATACACGATAGTAAATGAACTGAGTATTGCCATGTAACCCTAAACCCTCCATCCCAACCTCCAAGCGCCCTACAGCCCAAACATAACCTGGGATTTTCGCGAGGCAAAGAAAGCCCGTGGGGGCAACCAGAGGTGGTGGGAAGAGCTGAGTGGGGCTCTCAGGATAGGGTTTGGGGTTTAGGGTTTAGGGTCTTAGGGTCTAGGGTTTAGGGTTTAGGGGGTTTAGGGTTTGGGGTTTAGGGTTTAGGGTTCGGGTTTATAGGGTTTAGGTACATCCTTATCGTGCAGGATCCTTGTTAAGAGACTCTGGCCCTAGAACCCCAAACCATACATGAATTCATATAAAGAGCCCAAATAAAGACTCGGGGGTTTCTTAAACAAGTCCTATGTGGGCAAAGACTAGAAGGCGCGATCATGAAAAAAACGATGTATAAGCCCCGCTTCCTGTCCTAGTGTAGCCGTCGGGCCATGTTGCAACCGTAGGCAGTGCCGCATCTAAACCAGCCAGCGGGCGGAGCAGGGACAGGTTCAGGCTGTTCAGGCACTTGAAACGCTGCTGGCACCCAGTTTATACAGAGGCTGCGCTAGAGGTTGATGGAGTTATACGGCATGTCGCAGCCCTTCTCCACCTATAGCCTCCATTGTAGTTCCTGTTTTTGGTTTAACCAATAATATAATAAGGATTTTATAAGGTATCCCCAAAAAGGAACTACAATGGAGTGCCGGCTCCAGTCTTGGTGCTCGGGACTTGGGTACAGCAACGGGGACGCAAGTGCTCTGACAGAACAGGGGAAACATATATGAAGTTTAGTTTGTTCGTAGGTCTAGACCCTTCCTCTTTGTGCCTGTAGCTTTTGAGGGCATCATGTTCAGACCTTGCAGGCTAGCCTTTGCTAGACCTGGAAACCTCATGCCTCCGGTACCGCCAGCAAGGTGTCGCTTGAAGTGGGAGGTAGATCTGAGTTTGTCGTTTTGTTTAAGCTGCCTGCTTCAAAGTATGAAGGTCGACCGCTAAACCCTAAACCTGAAAGCCCCCACCTGAACCGACCAACCCGCAGGTGACACCTGTCCCATCTCGGGCTTTCCCATTGCGTACCTTCCGTCGCTCAGCGAGGGCTGGATCGAGGACAAAGTCGCAGTTTTTGAGTTTGGGGAGTAGATTTAGGGCCGTTTTGGGGCAGGGGTTGAAGGGTTAGGGTCAGTTAGAGCTAATGGCTGGTGTAGTACTGTAGGGTTTAGGATGTAGTGTTACAGTTTGATTCAGGGTTGTTGTAAGTCCATCCGCGAGATGTCTAGAATTCAGGGTTAGGGCTCGTTGCCTTGGACAGTGAAGGGTTTAGGGTTTAGGGTTGTCGGCAGTGCGCCTTCGTGTTGCATAGTGTCCAGGTCGGTGGCTAAAACCCGCAAGCCTTATCCCCAAGCCCCGAAACCCTTGACCTAAGCCGAAATCCCTCAACCCCAAAACGCCGCACCCAAACCCAAAGCCCCCAGACCCAAGACCCCCAAACTAAAGCCCTAAACCCTAAAGTCTTAAAGCCCTTCAAAGCTCTCAGATGAGCTCTCAGATGCCAAGGTATCCGCCCTGTAAGCTGCAGGTAGGCCCCGGCAAGAGCCAGAAGACCCGCCGCTGCATTAGAAGCGCTTTCCACCTTTGGAGTTCAGGGGGTTTACGGCTTTATATGGCGTTTTAGGCTTTATGGGTTTTGGGTTCTAGGGTTAGGGCTTCAGAAAGTTTAGGGTTTAGGGGTTTTGGGTGTTTGCTAGGTTGAGGGGCTTTATGGCGGTACTTCAGGCATTACTAGGATCTCGGGTCTCTCGCCAGGACCTTAGGACGACCAACGACAACGTAGCTGCATGAAGATCCGGGCCTCCTGCGTGCTGAAAACCTGCTGGTTGAACTATAGTTAGAGTAGAATATACCCCAAAAACCCTATTCTAATTGTTAAGGGCCCCTATATTTTGCCCCAAAACCCTATTCTAATTATGAAGGCCCTATATTTTCATTCCGAGGTTTGTTGATGGCCAGTATCTCCTGCTGCATATCCTGAGCACCTTGGCTGCGCTGCTTCAGGCTTCAGTTGGGGGCTCACGTTAAGACCCAATAGACCCAAAGCCGAATCAGGGATCCTTGGTCGAGAACTCCCCCCCCCTCCCCCTTTAGCATTCATCCGACAGCATGTGTCATAAGCCAAAGCCCCACATCCCATTCCTTGATAGCCCTGACTACAGTAGAATTCAAACCAAAAGGCAGTACTTGCCGCGTGATTGAATTCAGGTCCCTCATCAAAAACATCCTACTTTACCAAGGCCGTGTGGAATCTCTGGATACACCCGGAACATGAGTCGAATCCCTCGCCCCAGGCACCCTCAATTTCGAAGTTCTTGGCCGCTCTCTCACGCACGGGGAGATTGAGGCTCGAATTTTGCAGGGGTATCTATGCGATGAAATGGTGAGAACCGGAAAGCCCACGACTCACGAACAATACCCCTAAACCTAAGCCGCTTCCAGCCACAAGTTAACTAACAGCAAACACAAGACGCTTGTTCAAAAAGGACTCGCAAGCCAACGCTTAGACATACCTACTTGTGTGCATCGTGTATGTATGTATGTATGTATGTATGTATGTATGTATGTATGTATGTATGTATGTATGTATGTATGTATGTATGTATGAATTCAGGCATATATGCATATGCATGCACTCATGCATGTGTATACATATATATATATATATGTATGTATGTATATATATATACACACATATTTGTATATGCATACGAATGCACGTACACCTGTCACACTACTACGTGACCATGTATGCCTATGTGTGTATCCTATATAATACAGATATATACATATGCATATATATATATATATATAATACACCAAACTTGTAGCATCATATACTGTAAGCCATCTTCAAGTTTCGCGAGGCCCCGCATACGATAGCATGCGCCCTTGAACAAGGCCCCGAGCACGAATCCAGCCCTCCATCCGGACCCAAGTTCGGTCCAGGCGGTCGACCAGCACATCAAGAAGTGCAAGCTCAGCTGCTTGGAAGCAAGGGTCTTTTAGCTTTGTTGGGAACCAAACCTTTATGTGTGTTTTTCCTGCCTTGGACGTATGTTTCCCCGGGAACGGCACATGTCGGTTTAGCGATGGACAGGTGGCAGCAAGCAAACGAAACGTGCCTGGCAACGCGTAGCCGCCCCGAGCCACTTTCCGGATAAATCTGCGCGCTCTGGCACGGCTTCATGCCCATGTTCAAGATCGCCAGAGATACACGAGCACATCATATGTATATATCGACACTTACATGCATAGGCTGCATGCGTAAATGTGCGTGTTGCTTGTTCTAAAGTCTTTTGTGCAAAGCTTGCTCCTGCTAGTGTGCACTGATAAGACATGCAAATCCATGGACGTATTCTTTGATCGCAACAGTGATTCAGATGGGTTGTCCTGCCAGTTGAGCTTCACAAGATAGGTGATTGCGATTCAGGGTTCGGGCTTGAGGATCGAGGGGTGTTGACTCGTTAATCACTGCATGCAAGGATTCGAGATTAAAAGGAACCCTCCAACCCTTTCAGGAACCCTTATAAGAGCCCTTTAGAAGCCTTCAAAGCAACCCTTAAGGCGAAAATGCCCTCAAGCGTCTAGCCTTCTTGAAGTCTTGAAGGATTCCTGAAGCACACACAGCCCCTCTTATGAAGCCACAAGGTCCTCTTCGCTTGTCTCGTGCTGTGGAGCTGCTGTGCCAGGCCTGCCGTGACAGTGCTGCGAGGGGTCAGATGGAGGGCGGTAGGGTTTCGGGATGAAGGCTCGGGAATTGAAGGTGTAAAGTTTAGGCTATTTGGGATTGAGGGTTTGAGGGTTGAGAGTTCAGGTTTTAAGGTTGAGGGTTTTTGCGGCTTCGATTTAAGCGTATAGGCTGGAAAATATATGGGGTAAGAGCTTGAGAGTTCGACCCTGGGCTGTAGTACCTAGCAGTGAAGAGCCACGCGTGAGGATACACACGTCCTACTGGTCATATATCGACGGCAAAGATGACGAACGACAAGAACATCACAGACTGATACTGCGATCGTCACAGTACGAACGGCGCCTGTTGCATAGAGTTTTTGTTGTGTTTGCTTCTCCGGCTTCCAACAATGAAGTGAATAGAGGGTGTGGATCAGCAACGGTCCGAGACTTCCGAGCCGTAACCCCAAACTCGAATTCCTGGAGATGACTCTGAGAGCTTCGCTCCTCAGCCGTTAGCAATACTTATTCCCGGGAGGGTCCATGTACCCAAATAGTATCCAAAGTACCTATATAGGGACTACTTTAAGGCCAAGGTATATACTATTCGGGTACATGGACCCTTAGGGATTTGCTTATTGTTCCAAGTTCTCGGAGACACAAAGCCCCTCTCCACTGGCTCATAATGTATATCTGGCTCAAGGACCCCTGAAAAGTCATCCCGATGGTGCAGGCAGCTAGAAGCCGAAGTGTTCAGCCCTTCAAGAACGAGTATGCATCTTAGGTGTACGGCCCCTTACTGATAAGCCCCGTCGCTCGCGGGCGGGCTTGACAGCCAAATGCATCTACAGTGTGAAACTGGACACTCCCAAGCTTTATGACACAACCCTAAACCCTAAACCTCATCTCAACAACCTACAAACCCACAACCCTAAACCCTAAACCTCATCTCAACAACCTACAAACCTTGCACACAGGTGGGTCAGCACAACGACAGGGCACGGCAGGCTTGCCTTAGCTTGACTCTGTACCGGGATTTCATGTACGAACCCACAAGTCCAAACCTTAAGCTCTAAGAATGGAGACCTAAATACAGCGAATTTTCAAAGGTCTGAACAAACCTCTATAAATCCCTGAAGAGCTTCATCCCCAGATGCTTCCCGTCGTTTCTTCTGTGGCTGTTGCAAGGTAGCCCAGGAACATAGGGTCCATTTACCGATGTGGTAAACGTGTTGGCCGCAAAAGGCTGCGTCTACATCTATCCATCCATCCGTTCCTCATCCATCTATCCATTAATCTATCCATTCATCCAGCCATCTAGTACCTGTCTATCTATCTATCTATCTATCTATCTATCTCAGTCCCTCTCTCCCTCCCTATTTCATTCTTAGCACCTTCGTGGAGAGATAGGCATGTTTTAAGACCCCCTTCCCTCGGACATAAGTAGACTGAGCTACACCGCAGAACGTACATGAGCCTAAAGCTGAATCCTTCAGCCCAGGCGTGTTTTGGAAGAGGCTTCAAGTGTCCAGGCTGCCGAAACCTGTCCCGAAACAGGCACGAAACGTCCCCCACTGCTGTGCCGGTACACCTCGTCTCACTTAAGTAAGTCTTCCTGGCTATGCACAGATGAGGGCCAGACGAGCCACGAACTGTTCCAAAAGCTGTTCAGGGCATGTTGTGGTCTCTTTTTTCTTCGGGGTGTCGCCGAAGGAGCTGGCCGAGCTGAGGACGAAAGCGACGAAGAAGCTGGGCGCTCTCAGGCGAGCCTGAATCCGCCCAGACTCCTGAACCAGAGCTGAAACTGCTAGAATCTACTTCTCAGTGTAGGGTCTCCTCTCTATTTATACATACACGGATATGCGATATGTGGCATATGCATCATCTGTGTGTATATGTATGAATGAATGTGTGTATGTATGCATGTATGTACGTATGTATGTATGTACGTAGGCTGGTATGTATTATGTACGCTTGTGCGCATATCTACTTGTTTGTCCGTTTCTGTCTGTCTGTCTGTCTGTCTGTCTGTCTGTCTGTCTGTCTGTGCGTACGTTAGTATATATGGTGTATGTATGCATCTATGATCGTGTGCATGTATGTGACTGTATGTATATATAATATAATATATATATATATATATATGCATACAGCCATATATGCATACATCTACAATGGCATACATACATACATGCATACTTACATGCATACATACATATACACACACATACATACGTACATACATA